AACCTTTTATATGAAAGCTATAACCTAATAACAGCCTAAGAATACGGGGAGAGGGGAAGGAGAGGGAAGGGGGAAATGGGTGGAGGGAGGGGGATTGGAGGGATCACTTCTGAGGTTTATCTTACAAGGGTACAAGTGAATCTTTCTAAGAGTAGAATATGAACGTTTTAACCCAATAGCTAAGAAAATGACATGAAGGCTATGTTAACCAGTTTGATGGAAGTGTTTCAGATTGTGTGTGAAAACACCACACTGTAGCCCAGAAGTGCATTAATGTACATAGTTACCATTCAATTAAAAAAAATAAACTTTCATATATAAATTGTTGGTGTAAATCTTCTTGAAAAAATGGTTGTTTTCCCCAAATATTCCAAATTTTAAAAAAATAGTTTTAAGCAAAGGACATCAGTCTTAGTAGGGGAGTTGCTGTGTTACTATTCAACACAACACATGAGGCACCCAGGTGTTTGTACAAACCAGGTACCTGAACTCACATCCATATAACCTGAGTTCAAAATTTTGTTTCACTGGTTCCCTGCCCCTGAAATGTTCTTCACTTATTGGGTACAGAATAAACACAACCTGTCTTTACAGATTCATTACGGATCTCATTCTGTGATATATTTATGACAATAACACAAGATCAATGTCAGAAATTTTGTAACAGTATGAAAGCGTAAAAAAAGATACCAGTTTAAACCACACTCTATGTCGGAGATATTCCCACTTAAAGTTAAAGTGTGCCTTCATTATGCTTTGACTTTTGTTCATGTAACTCAAGGTACTTAAGTGACAAATACAGTAGAACCCCTGTAAGTGGCCACCCAAGGGACAGACAGAAACTGTCAGCATATGGACGTGGTCACCATAAGGAGTGAGGGCTACTGTGCTGACATGAAGTGTGGTGCATGTCCAGTCTGTGAAAATGAGGTCAATTTAAGGAGGTGGTCAGTGCAGGGAGGTGGTCAGCTGGGGAGGTTCTTCTGTGTGTAGAACATTTTAATCTTATTGAATGTATCTTTTTGTCTACAAACATTATGATCTTGTTCTCTTTATCATTTTGCCCCTGAATTTCCAAATAAACTTGCATTAGGGCTGACTATTTATTTATTTATTTAGGTTTTGTTCATTGGTACAAAAGAGTGTTGATTGAATGTATACAACAGAGAGGGGGTGCAAGCAGCTGGGGCCATGGAGCCGCCAGTAAAATAGAATGTCCTTAAATAAAGTGTTCCCAGAGGAAAACCCAGAACCTCCAGCCCTTCCCTTGACACCCAGAGCACAGGTGCCCAGGGAACTGGGAGGAGGTTGTCAGGGATTCAGAGGCTCATGTTGTCACACCCCGTGCCATTGCTAGTGGGGTCTGAGAGTCACCTGGGTTGGCTCTAGCCAGCAGCTTCCCTCTTTTCAGAGCCGCCCCTGCAGTGTGGAGCCAGGCTCTTCTCTGCCTTCCATCCCAGGCACCATCATTTCTCCTTCATCCTCTGCGGCGCTCTGTGCATCCTCACCTTCCTCATTCTCTGCCTCCGGACCTGGAGCTCCTCTTCACTGCCTTCCTCACTGCCCTCCTCCTCGTACACCCCCATCCGACTCACTCCCATTGTCCCCAGCCTGGCGGAGGAGTTAGCGGCTCCCAGACTCGGGCTGTGCGGTCCCAGCTGCCCAGTGGGAGCAAAGGCTGCGTGGTTCTTGGCTGTGGGGCCATTTTCCTGTGAAGGAGTTTCCTCAGATGGGTCCCCAGGTCCCGCCTCCCTGTGAGGCCCTGGGACCCCAGGCCCTCGCCTGTATCAGCTGCAGATTTGCGGGGAGTTGAGCAAGTCGACGGCTCTTCACCAGTCATGGGAGGCTCCTCACGCAGCCTCCTCGCTGTCCACATCACCTTAATTGGGTGCTTTTGCTTTTTCAATTTCATCGTCTGGGGGTGGGGGGCGTGTGGCCTGCAATGTGTCAGCTCTGTTTGGCTCCCTGGGTGGTCAGCTTGGTGTCCATCCTGGGAAGGCTTAGGCAGCTTGCCTTCCACGTACTCTCTGATCTCTGATGATATCAGGAAGGTGTTTGGCACAACACCGGGCCACTTCCTCTCCTCTATGTCCATCATAGACAGAAAACATGACTGCCTCACTGTCCAGCTCAGGAATACAGGCGTGAAAATTGTCCATGCAGACTCGCCAGCCTTGTGTGTGGAGAATCCCAGGGTAGCAGCAGGTGCGGGGCTTAGACCCATTCCGGGGCATTGATCCTGTTGGACTGGGAAAGGTCGGCACCAGGGCTGCGGCTGCTGGAGGCCTCCAGGGTAGGAGCTCTCCGCGTGTGTGGCTGAGCAGGCCAGGCTGTGTGGCAGATGCCAGTTGCAGGAGGAAGGCGGGAAGCAGAAGGTGGGACAGGAAGCGATGACTCGCAGGGAGCAGAGAGGGAGGGACCCGTCGCATCTCCAGATCCTGCCAGGATGGCGCTGCCAGTTGTGATTTCCTTAGCAACTCGCAGCCAGACTAATTGTTTTGGAGTAAAGTTATTAGAGTGCTATAGTATGAGCACAGTATAAGGTTCTACTTATTTTTAAAATTGTCAAATGCTGAAATTATTTCCACTTTTTATTTTGGAAAACTTGCCACAAATATTGAATCGGCTCATCTTGGTTTACTTTTTTTCTGTATAGTTTTAGTTAAGTATACTGTGAAACCAACAGGTATATGCATTTTTAAAGCACTTGACAGGTTTTGCCAAATGTTTAACTATTTTAAGACACAGGTAGTATCTGAGAATCTACTTGTATTATCTTTTTTTGCAGTTTTTGGCCTGGGCTGGGTTTGAACCCACCACCTCCAGCATAAGTGGCCAGCGCCCTACTCCTTTGAGCCACAGGTGCTGCCCTCTGAGAATCTACTATTTTGTGGGAAAGCAAGCACTCTGAAGTAGCAAGTACTTTATATATTACAGAACAGATGTGACAACTGTTGACTTGAATTCAAATCATGATACACGTTAATATCAACAGCTAGTATTAGTAGTGGTCACTGCTGCATTGCAAACCTCTCCTGGGGCCACTATCATTTTCCCTTACACTGAACGGGGTTGTTTACTGAGAACAGAGTTTGAGCGCATAGAATTTCCATTAATCCTGCCTCTCCTTGCTTCCCTTGTGAAAGTGCAACAATTTGCACTCAACACAGATGTTGGGTTTTATCTTTGAATAAGATTTCAGTTGTATGTTGGTGTTAATAAGAAGGTAGACAAAAAATATCTTGTGAGAGATCACATAAGATTACAAAAAAAAAGCATGTTTTTTCTTTTCATCTTAAAAATATGATACTCAAGTAAATACATCAGTTTCTTAGGCTCCTTCATAAGGAATATTATTTTATATGCTGGAAGAATTCTTTTGTGGATAAAATTTAAAGTCACTTCTCTGATACAAGTAAAAGGATTTACTTTGTCTTTATTACATATTCCCTGTACATTTTCTCTGTGCTCTGTCAGGTAGTTTTGATTTTGACACAAAAGTTTCCTGAGGGAGATTTATTGAGGTATTCTCTAGAACAGGCATAAGGCAGGGAACACTTGCTGTGATGAGGCCAACCATCCATTTGATGTTCTCAGAGGTAAAACTCAGGAATCTCGGTGAGGAATGGTTTAAATGCTAGAGTTGGAACATATTCTCCTTAGTAAAGTATCTCAAGAATGGAAGAAAAAGTATCCAATGTACTCAATACTATTAGGAAACCAATATATAATCACCTACACTTTCATACAAATGATAAAACACAACTATAGTCCAGAATGGAAGAGGGAAGTGGAGGGAGTGGGGAGGGGAAAGGGGAGGTCAGTAGGAAGGAGGATATTTGGTGGGACCTCACCTAATGTGCACAATGCAAGGGTACATGTCAAAACTATTACGTGTAGAGTATAAATGTCTTAATACAACAAATTTAAGTGAGGTGAAGGTTATGTTAACTAGTTTGATGTAAGCATTCCAAATTTAATATAAAATCAGCACATTGTACCCCATAAATGCATTAATGTACATAGGTATGATTTATTAAAAAAAAATCAATAAATGCTGCAATGAAAGTAAACATTGGTCTGGCTGTGCCTGTATCGGGGACATATTTGTATTGATACAAAATGGTGTTCCCTTTAAAGTAGGATAATGGTGAAGAACCTCAATAGTTACAATAAATAACCAAAATAAAGGAAATAGTAACATCCTTACCTTAGGCAGGGGTCTGGCAGGTTTGCAGTGGAGGCCTCCAACAAACTCAAAATTCGGTAAGAGTGGGCGAGGAAATTCAAAGTCCCAGTAGGTTCGAATGAGCCATATATCAGCTTTTCCCATCATCTCATACAAAGTAGCGGGTCTTCCTGAAAAGGATAAAAGAAACCAAATGTAGATGATGCAAAAGGGTTTTTATGAGAATGTAAAAGTAATTTCCTGAATGAAGTTGGAATACTATTCAAAAGATATATACAGTGTTTGTGTTAAACAAATGTATACACACATTGATATATAGGCATAATTTAATTCTAATGTGTTGTATGTCTTGCTCATACATATATATAAGAAAAGCAACATGCTATGAGAATTTCTCAGGGAAGCTACGTCTCTAATGTTACATCAGTATTTTCCCAGTAATCAATAATTATTAATATAAGCCACTATGAAGTTACCCATGTATTTATTTATTTTCTATAACAGTGGTTCCCAACTTTCCTAATGCTCTGGCCCTTTAATACAGTTTCTGTGGGTCGCAACACACAGGTTGAGAACCACTGTTCTAAAACAACAATAGGAACAAACATATATTTAAGCAATTCTTTTATTTAAAAAAAACCATAAAAGCAATTCTTTGAGATCTACTATTAATGAATCCTATCCAAACGAAAAAATCTTAGGATGGGTGGAAGGAGGGTGATTGCTGGGATCATGCCTATGATTTATCCTATAAGGGTACATGTGAATCTTTCTAAATGTGGAATATAAATGTTTTAACACAACAACTATGAGAATGACATGAAGGCTATGTTGGCTAATTGGATGAAAGTATTTCAAATTGTATATGGAAACAACACACTGTACCCCATGGTAGCATTAATGTACACAACTATGATTTAATAAAAAATAAAAATAAAACAAAAAACAAAAAATCTTCTTTCCAATAAGTGCTCAATTTAGTTTCTGCAATTTATGAAGACTGTCTCATGATCCTTGGTCCTCCACATACAACTAGACTTTTTTTAAATATATGGTTGAAATCCTTGTACTTACTCCTGCTTTTGGTACAGGTGAAGGCCTTAAATAGTAGTATTCTAAAAATAAAGACATTTACAAATGGCAGGTGGAAACTTCAAAAGCTATAGAAATAGATAATTTTTGCTCCCTCTCATTTGGCTCCTATTGACCTTAATGTAGAAATAAGTTTAATAAAATATAGATGAAAGCTTGGATGTTCACATGTCAATAGAATTTTAGGCCTAAAACCGATAATCTCCAGCCTGAGTGAAGGAAGTAGACACATTGCAAACCTCAAATTTTAGATGTCTTTTTTCTGATGTACAGCCACCTCTAACTGTGAAGGGTTTCTTCTGTTATATGGAAAAATATTGTAATTTCTACATAGAAAAAACTAAGTTACACAAAGAGATACTACTTCCTTAATACTTCATTGGTAATTGAGTTAAAATAATGTGTAACTCCTCACTACACATGTCTGCTTTCATCCAGATGTTTCTTCGTGTGTCTATTAACTTTATTTGAGGCAAAAAATAAATAGTAAAGTAGACACAATGTCTATAGAAGTGATGGCCACAAAGTTCTAACTGATTCTATAATATTTGTGAGATTGGTATTTTATCTTATGTTTACATTTCTTTCTCTCATTTACAAAAATACATACTTCTCTGACTTCATTTTCATACAAGCTCACCTTCCAAGGCACCAAGAAAAGTGGGAATTAACATCCACAAGTAAAAACATTACTCACCAAGAACTTCACTGTAAAACAGATCCCAAGTCTTCACATTAAATATTTGGAACCAAAAGTCAAAGTAAAGCACATATATCATATTTTTCACCCTCTCCATGAATGTCATCTGATCACTTAATTCTGACAACATAACAGGAACGTAGGAAGGAGGGAAGGGAAGTCCTCCACTGTGCTTCTCAAAGGAGTATCCAGGAGAGAAGCGCAGACTGTACACCAGGGGGGTTTTAAGTACCTCGGCCAGCAGGTCCCCACAGAGAGCAATGGCATCTGCAAGAAGAACATCAAATTTTGCTTCCTGTAGCTTTGTCATGAGTTTCTTATTGAAAACTACATCTTTACAGAGCTTTTGCACACAGTCGGAATATTTCAGTGTCAGTTTTTCTATTTGTGAAAAATGTGACCAAAATGAATCCTTTGGAATATCATATATCCATTCATTGAGCATTTTGACAAAAAACCCCTCAAAGTCTTCTTTAGTTAGAGATGTAGGATAAACTTCAAATTTAATAGCAGATGTTTTGCTGGGATCAACGAGAATGGAAGCTGAAGATGCCAGCACAGTCACCTCATGGCCTCTCTGGACAAGTTCGTCCAGGATGGTCTTTATGTTCATCCAGTGGCTGTATTCCATGGGCCACACCAGCACCTTTCCACACGTCCCAGAGCTGAAACAACAGCTCAGCTGTAGGAGCAGCAGAGCCCAAGTCCATTTCACAGCCATCCTGGTCAGTGTGATACTTCTTTTACAGTTGCTATTTCTTTCTGACATTCCTCATACTTTGATCCCAGGATAAACCAATCAAGTTAAAATTTAACTAGTACACTTAACAAATAAATACATTATCTGAACAGTGGTTGGCAGGTGGGCAAACCAAAGTTAGATGACCTTGTACTTGCTAAAGTGTGTTTAATTTCCCTTATGTTTATAATTGCTTCAATGCAGCTTATTTTGATGACTTTGCATGTGCAAGTCATCTGTCTTATGTAAGACAGTTTACATGTGTCCAAAAGGCAAGGTAGAGACTCTTGGGTCTGTAGTCCCTTGACACAGAACTGGAAATGAAGTAATTTTACAGCTGGGTTGATACTTCTTGAATATCTGGTTAAATATTTTTTGTATAACTCTTTTGATATTACTGCATACATGATATCAGTGACCTATTACTGTTTAGAGTTGAATGTGTTTAGTACATTCACAGAGCTGTGCCTCACTACTGCCAACAGCCCTGAGAGAGGCCCTGTGCTCTGTAGCTGGTGTCTCCCTGCTCTGCATTTATCCTCCCCCTGCTCCAGGCAGCTCAAGTCTAAAGTTTGTGTTTATACATTTGCTTTTTATGGACAATTTCATAAATAGAATCATAAGCACACAGTCTGGCATGTGTTCATTACTGGCATTTTCCACTTAGGAGAATGTTTAAAAAGGATCATATACAGCATCCCTTATACTCAGACTTCATTCCTTTTTATTGCCAACTAGTAGTCCATAGTATGGATATAAACTTTTTATTCATTATCCAATTCTGGACATTGATTTTGTTCAGGATTTGGCATTTGTGAAAATGTTGTTTATTAGCATTCAAGGATAGGCTTGGTGTGGAGTGGACATATTTTAATTTCTCTAGGTTGTCTTCCTTGAGATTGAATACCACATCTTTTGCTTCCTGTATGTCCATCCTTTGGAGAAATTGCGGAACTGCTTTCTACGTCAGCTGCATCATTTCCCATTCCCACCAGCAATGGATGAGGGTTCCAACTCTGTCATCCCCTGGCAGGCACTTCTTAGTAGAGATCTTTCTATCGTGGCCAGTGGCAGTGACATGACATGTCATCATGTTTTACATTTCTTCCTTATTTTCTAAAGGTGCTGAGCCTTCTTTCTTAGGCTTATCAGCCACCATACATTGTTCTTAGCAGAATTTATAATCATATCCTTAGCTCAATTTCAATTTGCCTACTTATTTTATTATTGAGTTGTACATTCTATTTTTTATTATCATTATTTTTAGTATACACCTCATCTTGTTTACTTAATTATTGTGTTAAGACATTTATATATTATACTAACAGATCCAACATGTATCCTTGCTTTATATACCACAGGTGTGATTCCACCATTCACCCTCCCTCGATCTGGCCTCCCCCACCACTCCCATCCCCCCTCCTCCCTCTTTCATCTTGGGCCATAGTTGTGATCTATCCTTCATATAAAAGTGTGAGAGATTGTAAATTGGTTTCAAAATAGTACTGAGTACTTTGGATATTTTTTCTTCCACTCTTGAGATACTTTACTAAGTAGGATATGTTCCAGCTCCATCCATGTAATGTAAAAGAGGTAAAGTCTCCATCTTCTTAGAGACAGAGTCTCACTTTGTTGCCCTTGATAAAGTGGTGTGGCATCACAGCTCACAGCAACCTTCAGATCTTTGGCTTAGGCAATTCTCTTGCCTCAGCCTTTCGAGTAACTGGGACTACAGGCACCTGCCACAATGTCTGGCTATTTTTGTTGAAGTTTGGCTCAGGCTGGGTTTGAATCTCCACACTTGGTGTATGGGGCCAGTGCCTTACTCACTGAGCCACAAGTGCTGCCAAAGTCTCTATCTTTTTAAAGGCTGCATAATATTCCATGGTATACATATACCACAATTTATAAATCCATTCATGTTTTGATGGGCACTTGGGCTTCTTCCATGACTTGGCTATTATGAATTGAGCTGCAATGAACAATCTGGTGAAAATATCTCTGTTGCCAAGTGATTTTTGGTCTTTTGGATATACACCTAGTAGAGGAGTTGCCAGATCAAATGGCAGGTCTATTTTTAGATCCCTGAGTATTCTTCATACTTCTTTCCAAAAGAGGTGTATTAGCTTACACTCCCACCAGCAGTGCAGAAGTGTTCCCTTTCTCCACATCCACTCCAACATCTGTAGTTTTGGGATTATGTTATGTGAGCCACTCTTACTGGAGAGAGATGATATCTCAAAGTGGTTTTGATTTGCAATTCTCTGATTAAAGATGATGAACATTTTTTCGTCTGTCTGTAGGTCATGCACCTATCTTCTTCAGAGAGGCTTCTGTTCAAGTCCCTTGCCCACAATGAAATGGGATCACTTGTTATTTTGTCATTAATAAGTTTGAGTTCTCTGTGGATTCTTGTTATCAAACCTTTGTCAGAAGTATAAACTGCAAATATCCTCTCCCATTCTGAGGGCTGTCTGCTTGCTTTACTTACTGTGTTCTTGGCAGTGCAGAAGATTTTGAGTTTGATCAGATCCCAGTAATGTATTTTTGGTGTTGCTTCAATTTTCTGGGGAGTCCTCCTCATAAAGAATGTTCCCAGGCCAGTTTCTTCAAATGTTTCTCTCGAGTCTTTATAGTTTCATGTCTTAAGTTTTTGTCTTTTATCCAGTGAGAGTCAATTTTTGCTAATGGTAAAAGGTGTGAGTTCAGTTTCAGTCTTCTACAAGTTGCCAGCCAATTCTCCTAGCACTATTTGTTAATCTAGGGAATCTTTCCCCCAATTTATATTTTTGATGGGCTTATCAAAGATCAAATGATGATAAGTGTCTGGGTTCATCTTTTGGCTCTCAATTCTGTTACATACATTTACCTCTCTATTTTTGTGCTAATACCATGCTGTTTTGATCACTACTGATTTATAGTATAGTCTGAAGTCTGGTAGCGTGATTCCTCCTGATTTGTTTTTATTTCTGAGTAATGTCTTGGCTCTTTGAGGTTTTTTCTGGTTCTGTATAAAACAAAGTACTATTTTTTCCAGATCTTTAAAGTATGATGGTAGTGCTTTGACAGGGATTGCTTTAAATTTGCAAGTTGCTTTCAGTAATATGGACATTTATTCTTCCTAGATATGAGCATGGTATATTTTTCCATTTGTTGACATCTTCAGCTATTTCTTTTCTCAGAGTTTCATAATTTTCTTTATAGAGGTCTTTCACATCTTTTGTTAGGTAAAAATTCCCGATTATTTCAAGTTCTTTGGAACAATTGTAAATGGAATAAAGTCCTTGACTATTTTTTAGGCATGACTATTATTGATATATATGTAAAGCTACTGATTTGGGAGTATTGATTTTGTATCCTGAGATGCTACTGTATTCCTTGATTAATTCTAAGAGTTTTGTGGTTGAGTCCCTGGGGTTTTCCAGGTGTAAAATCATATTATCTGATTTGATCTCCTCTGACCCTATTTGTATACCCTTGATTGCCTTCTCTTGCCTGATTATGATGGCTAAGACTTCTATTACAATATTAAAAAGCAGTGGAGACAATGGGCAACTTTACCTGGTTCCTGATCTGAGTGGAAATGATTTCAATTTTACTCCATTCAATACAATATTATCTGTGGGTTTGCTATAGATGGCCTCTATCAGTTTAAGAAAAGTCCCTTCTATACCTATTTTCTTAAGTGTTCTGATCATAAAACAATGCTGGATATTATCAAAAGCTTTTTCTGCATCAATTGAGAGAATCATATGGTCTTTGTTTTTTAGTTTGTTTATGTGATGTATTATATTTATAGATTTATATATATTGAACCAACTTTGAGACTCTGGGATAAAACCGACATGTTCATGGTGTATAATTTGTTTGATGTATTGCTGGATTCTGCTTGCTAGGATCTTATTGAATATTTTTGTATCTATGTCCATTAAAGATATTGGTCTATAGTTTTCTTTTCTCATTGGATCTTTTCCTGGTTTGGGAATCAAGGTGATGTTTACTTCATAGAATGTGTTGGGAAGTATTCCTTCTTTTTCTCTGTTTTGGAAAAGGTTAAGTAATATAGGTACTGGTTCCCCTTTAAAGGTTTGGTAGAATTCTGATGTGAAGCCATCTGATCCCAGACTCTTCTATTTTTTAAAGATTTTGTGTAGTTGATTCCATTTCAGTACTTGATATAGATCTGTTCAGCATTCCAATTCCTTCTGATTAAGTCTAGGTCAAGTATTGGTCAGTTTCCTTCAGACTTTCATATTTCTGAGGATAAAGCTTTTGTAGTATTCCTTAAGGATTTTTTGAATTTCTGATGTGTCTGTTGTTATTTCACCTTTGTCATTTCTGATCGATGATGTTAGGGATTTAATTTTCTATTTTTGGTTTGGTTGGTCAAAGGTTTATCAATTTTGCTGAATTTTTCAAAAACCAACTTTTTGATTCATTGATCTTTTGAATAATTCTTTTTTTTCAATTTCATTTAATTGTGATCTAATTTTAGTTATTTCTTTTCTATTGTTTTGTTTGGGGTTGGAATGTTCTTCCTTTTCCAGTTGCTTAAAATGTCCCATTAAGTTATAGACTTCCTCTCTTTCTATTGTCTTGTGGAAGGCTTGCAATGCTGTAAATTTCTTTCATAGGACTGCCTTTGCAGTATCCCACAGGTTCTGATAATTCGTGTTTTCATTAATGTTTTGTTCCAAAACTTTGGCAATTTCCTTCTTAATCTTATCTATGACTCAGCTATCATTCAGCATAAAGTTATTTAGTTTCCATGACTTTGTATGAAAAGTTACCTATTATTGGTGAGTTCAAATTTTATTGCATGATGATCTGAGAAAATGCAAGGAATAATTTCTATTCTTTTAAATTTGCTGAGGTTATACTTGTGACCTAAGATGTAATCAGTTTTGGAGGATGTTCCTTGGGCTGATGAGAAGAATGTGTATTTAGTTTTGTTAGGATGAAATATTCTGTAGATGTCTATTAAATTCAATTGTTGTTTGGTGAAGTTTAAGTCCAAAATGTCTTTGCTTAGTT